TTTGTGCACTTTTATATTTATATATATATATATATATATATAATATATATATATATATATATATTCATAAGAGAGACTAGTTTTACAGTATTCATTGATTCCACCAAAATCTTCTTTTAAAGAATAACACAAATGTTAAACAATAGCACCACCTAGTGAGCAAATAGAAGACAATGTATGGGATTTGTGCATCCAAGACACAGCTTCAACATAAATACTGGTAATCACATGACCCACAACAGAACATGAGTCACATGATATCCCTTATTCTCTCCTTAGGCCTTCAAAGCAGCATGTACAACTGCGTCTCTGTGTTTAAAAATAACTTGAGAGAGAACAAAAGACGTATTTTGTCGTGACAGTACCAGAGACGTTCTAAAAACAAATTGGGCAAACATATGCTTTGTGTACTTGGCAATGCAATCATTCAACAAATTGGTTAATTTGAATGTTTTTGACACTGCCAAGAACTATTTTTATCACAATAATTATAGATAATTGTAAACACTACCATTTGACAAGTGGCACAAGCTAAAGAAGGTAACCTGCTTACACTTTCAATTTGACCCTAACAGATTTCCTTATAGATAGTTAGATAGGCAGCATATACCGACATCCTATTATTTAACAGTACTTCTCTGTTTGCTTTCTTTCCCTGCAGGGACCAGTGACCCATATGTGAAGTTTAAGATCGCAGGGAAGGAGGTGTTCAGGAGTAAGACCATCCATAAGAATCTCAACCCGGTGTGGGATGAGAGAGTAAGCCTGCTGGTGGAAACCCTAAGGGACCCACTATATGTCAAGGTACAGCACATAAGTCCCTGACTCCAAATGTTTTTGCTGTAATATAAATTGTTGTTGTATTTTGGATGATGTCAAGTCTCAGTGGACATGAATTTACGGTGCCTGCTTCTGTTTTATGCCAGATGCCACATTTGCAATGTGGTGTTGAGGGTCCTCTGTTGACAGTTGCTGTTTATTATCTCTTTGTAGGTTTTTGATTATGACTTTGGACTTCAGGATGATTTCATGGGCTCAGCATACCTCCACCTGGAGTCACTGGAACATCAGAGGTCTCTTTGTCTCTTTTGACTTATACGTGAAATCAACACAATTCACTACCATTCTATGCCACAGCCTCTACCAATAGTAAATACGTGTGTGTAGTTGACCCCTAAAGTGAAGGGTTAGGGAGTCCTCTCATAACAACTATTTTCTTGACACATACCCCTCTCCAAGCATCTTTCCTTGCTTTTGATGCCGTCAATGTGATTAAATATAGTCTGTGGTCTCCCTCTAGTGGCAGTCTTTGGTTGAGAGGCGTCTCATCTCAAAATTCCAGGAGAAAACAAAAGTACTGCATTTTGTATAGCTATACCCTACAATAATCCATCCTTACATAGTAATCCAGTATACGTGGACCTGTTTAACCAGTACATCTATGATAATACTTCATTGATCAGTTCAAAAGTGTATATTCACTTAAATCCTACATATGGACCATCAATATAGTGATAACCTCCCCTAGCCAAAATATACTCTTTACACCTTTTAAATAAGTCATCACCGCATATATTATCTGAGTCTGAAAATACATGGACTTAAACTGCAACTTGACTGTTTGGTGGAGGCATACAACTGTGGGGTGGTAATTCTTGTTCATGTAGTTCACTTTCATAAATCACAATTTGCCTCAGGGGGCTTTACAATCTGCCCAGTGTACAACACCCTCTGTCCTTAGACTCTCGATTCAGGTACAAAATAACTCCCCCCAAAAACCTTTTAACAGCAGGAATGGCAGCTCGAAGGGCTCAAGGAAGGAAGCAGAAAATAGCAGTCAGCTTGTGTGGCAGCTTATCTCAGTATTCCACGTTGTGTCAGCCATGAACTGATTGAATATGTGTATCAACTCTATGGTAAAATGCATGGGGTTTTGTAGTGCATTCATTAATTTATATACACATTTTAAAATATTTTATTTATATGTCTGCACATTTGAATTATGCACAACGGCTTTGTCATGTAATGAAAAAAAAAGAAAAAATAACTACTTACAGAGTTTGGCAAACAAAAAAACAAAATAATCAATTATGGCATCATGTACCTCCGCATAAAGGAGAAAAAATAGAAACAAATGTTAGTTTGTCTCAGTACAGCACCTCATACTGCTAATCCAAAGTAAGCCATTACTGGAGCCCATCAGTTTAAAAACCATTCCATTAAAACACTTTCATGAACCTGTCTTGCCATTGATGTACAGTAGGTGGCAGTGGTTTGAGCCAAGATAAAGTCATAATTTATTTTGCTACCACTAAAAGTATGTGCAACTAGTCAGCCTCTCTCTTTTCCATTGCTCCATCTGGTATTGCACCTATGATATAATACATTGCTTCTAGTTGTGAATTAGTATTCAAAAGGGCACGTATTTCTGTACCCCTTCCCAGTATCATTTTAATTTGACAATCCCCCAAAAAATGTGTGTAATCACCAACCTTCTTACAATCTCTCCAGCACAAATATGTTTTAGATCTGTCATATTTTGATAGAATAAAAGGAGTTCTTAACTACCCTTATTCTTAATTTCCAGCTAAATTATTTCCATAGTGGGCTACTAGTTACTTTATGTCCTACATACACCTATGTAGAATCCATCCATGCACTAACTATATGCATATGAATGTATTCATGTAAGCGCACTTTGCTTCCCCTTAGGACACTGGATGTGACACTGGACCTGAAGGACCCACAGTACCCTGAAAATAACCTAGGCAGCCTGGATCTAGCTGTCACTCTGTCACCCAAAGAGGGAGAAATGAGGGATGCTGTAAGAAATATATATGAACTTCTATATGAATCATATTACTCATTAATCTGTCTCTCTCACACTAGTTTCCTCCTCATTCAAGGGAATCATCCCTTTTTATCTTTCTTACATCATCTTTGAAATGTCACACCAAGATAAAAAGTAATTTATTTTAGTTTTAGTCAAATATTCTGAAGAAACAAACAAGTTGATATAATACCTTTTTATAATCATAATCAAAGTTCAGCAACAGTGCTATTCCAAGTCAGTGAACTGTTTATCCATACATCAGAAGCCCGAGCATGCTGTGTTAAACTGGAATGTGCTGGCTTCAGTCAGCCTCAGTTACTGGAAACTCTTCAACTCAGCAAATACATATGCATAAACACAAGTGTAATTAATATGTTCGGCGGAAAAGTTCCTTGTTCAAAGAGTACTGGATTCTCCTTCCTAATTATGTTGGCTTGTGCCTCTGCGGACCTGCTCGATGTTTCAGAGTTGCATTTATTTCTGTTCAATTATTTGTTTGGTTAATTGGACCCCTGCATGCTCGAGCCGGAACAAGGCAGAGTCATGAGGGAAATATTTTATTCCTTTTGATCTGATGTCTTAATTCTGCTGCTTATTTAGTACTGTAGTTCAGAGAGTCCACATTTGACAGAACAAATAAACTCTATTTAGGTTAAGCATCATTTTAGATTTCTCCAACTGTGAAGAAAATGAGTACAAGGTTATACTAGTACATTCTGGCTGACTCTCTCTGTTGCCATCTACTGGTTTGGAAGGGTAAGAGAGAATACAGAACTTTAATCTACTTTAAAATTCTTTATTGCACTCCTAATAAGGGTGATTCTAGTAATTTTATTAACCAGGCAGCATAAACAGTGTTTCTGTATATGATTTTCAATATATATACCGTTTGTTTTCAAGGTAATGAGTGTTGACGTGAGGGAATTGTGTGGATTTTCTTTGGGTAGATAGTCCTTTCATATAATGATTTTTTTATTGTATTTGAAAATTTTACATTTAGGATTAAATTTAAGTCACATAAGTAAGCCATGTTTATCTCAGAAATCATCTTCTTCAACAAAATCTCCTAAATTTTTGAGAATACCTTGCCAGTAAAACTAGGAATGGAAATGACATTTATGAAAGTATCAGGTATAGAAATGATGGTTATACTGTATGAGAGGCACAAATGCAGCTACTGTATACATACATGTTTATCTGTGCGTGTGCTTGTGCACGCATGTCTGCATATGCAAACACTTCATAACATCATATGACAAGTAAGAGCGCTTCTTACACACCTATTGCTTACTTAACCTGCATGAATGACAGCTGCCCTTCTGTCTTTATCTAATCCCCCCCCCCTCCCTACCTGCACCAGGCCAGGGCTAACATCTGAACCTCATACACCCCATGCCCTTTAACCTCTGACCCTGCAGCTCTAAGGGGATGACAGTGGGGGGCGCTCTGTAACAGCTTTGTCTCATTTACAGACCATGCTTTTGAGAAGGAACTGGAAACGATCTAGTAAGGTAAACTAAAACAGCATGTAACTCCCCCACCCACAAACTTCCAACTGTACTGTAACCCCACTACCGACCGCACTGCACCTCACCTATCCTGCACTCTTCACTTGTGTCCTGGTACATGGATGAAGTCTCCCTGGCCCCCTCCCTTCCTCCCCTCCTTCCACAGTGGTATTAGCAGTTTTTCTTTCTTTATCAGTTCTCATTGTCACTAGCCTATTTTCCACAAGCTGCAATATACCACCTGCTATTTACATCACCTTAGGGGATGTAAACTCTTTTTATTTTTATTTTTTTGGAATGCAAGCACGATTAAGCCTAAAGGTGAACTGTGTTTACATGTGTTAGGGCAAGTCATAGTTCACATAAAGTGGAAGTAATGCATTACACTGTCTACCATTATTCTAAGGGATTTTCTCAATTATGTTTTGAAACCTATTTAGTGTTTCAGTTTAATAGCAGATATTTTTCCTGACAATTAAAATAATCTACCGTTTATTGAACTTTGGGCTTTTAATTTGTTAAATTATGCAGAGTTTCTGCTCAACTTGAACCGCTTGATACTTTGGTGCCTCATCTACCTTTGATCTGCTTCGGGTATTGCAGCTGCTGTGTGAGAAAATACAGTGACTGATTTGTTTTTAGGAGTCCTGTACAGCAAATCAAAATAAGTACATTTGGGCGATTGTTGACCGTGTGGACTGATTATAGGACACTCTCATACCCCTTTACATCAAGTGGAATTCTTTGATGTTTACATTATTTTGAGTTCCCATCTTGCCATTCATAAGAGACTGCTACCTTTTGGTTTAATTTTTTGTGATTCTTGTTGGCTGTCAGGTTGAACAGAAAGCATGCTCGTCGAAGCTCTGCTTCTTATTGGCTTACGCATGAAGCACTTACCTTGTTTTTTTTTTTTGTGCCAAATACAGCAGTCTTGGCATCAGGGATGATTTTGTGAACCCAACTGGGTTTCACAGCTGTGTTTCCTCATGTGTCTCATGTGTTTACCCTAAGTCAATCTCCTAAATGCACCTAGAGGCACTGAATGTTTTCTTAACTCACAGTGAAAAGTTTGATATCCACCAAGAGACACAGTTACACATTTGAAGCATGCTTGGTCAGAGCTGGGCAGACGTCCTGCTGTATCGTGCTTTCCCAAACAAAGCCTTTGAAGCTTTCAAACTGGGCCACCCCGCCTGTGACTCGGGAATTAGCTCAAACACTAAGTAGCTACAGTGCTACCCCACCAAAAAAGGCGCTGCCTCTGAGTGCCTCCCTGCCTCTGCGCTCATACATACAGTAAACGGTTATTTTTACACAACCACTTCTTTTTAATGATGCATCTATGAGTGTTGAACCCACAGTAGATGCAAACTATTCAAGAAAGTAGTTTGAGATGATAATTATGAGTCAGAAGCATGTTAAGTCCAGGTCTCTTTAACTTTACCACTAGGCAAAATGCTTACTTTGGCACTTCAGAAGTTTGTATTCTTTCTTTCAAAAGTTGAACTATGTACAAAGTTGTATTAATTCTTAAACTGAATGTTAGTATCTCTCCTAAGACATCTCTGTGCATGACCTCTCCCCTGCTGTGCTCTGGCTGAGGGATGTGGATTTCGAATCCAAATAGCCCATGGTTTTCGATAACAAGATATATGTAGCAACAAAACAAGGAAACAATTAGGATTGTGCTTGAGTAGGACATAACAGCGACCTCTCATAATTAGGATACAGTGTGTTAGCAGCAAGTTAACAGGAGAAATGAAAGATGTGGGAGTTGCTGTATGTGAGGCTGGCTATATTGCAGGGAGCCATTCGCATTGTTTAATGTCTGGAGAATGGAAATTAAGAGGCTCCGTCTCCAGATCAAAGGCCTGCGCTTGCAAGGCAGGGTTTGTTCAGAGTTTAATGAAATTCACCCGCAAAACAAAAGCTATGCTAATAAATTCTCCCTAACGAGGAAGGAGGCGAGGGAAAGGCAGAAAGAGAGAGAGAGAGAGAGAGAAAGGGGTGTATTTGTTTGACAAATAAATACCCTGCTCTTTGTTTTAGTGAAGGATACTGACATGATTCAAAGAGAGGTTAAATAGGCCTGTAAGTGCTGAGGAAACTGTTGAGAAAAACACAACATACTAAAAATATAGAGAATCATCAATCTGAATTAGCAGTGCTGTCAACTTACAGTAAAGCCAGATGATATGCACTGTAACAGCATCTCAGTGGTCTGCCCATTTGGAATAAGGCGGTCTACAAATCACTTGCCTCCTATTCATTTTTTATTATATTAAGAATTTCTACAAAAAAGACCAGACTGATGTATACATTCTCATGCAGACTGTAAGCTATTTTGTCTAGAGTAGAATCTCTACTGTACATTAGGTTACATTACATGTTTTTAATTTTCCCACAAATGTGGGTAAACGTTTGCTACCAACAGTGATGGTGTTTCTCAGCATTTCCAAGAAATTGTTCAGGATTTTAGACTCTTACTGAGTGACTGGTGGGATACTGTGTTTGATTATTCATAGTGATGTTCTGTCAGGTGAGCTCACGCCTCAGGGGTAAATTATGTTGAATTATCTCAGTTTGTGTTTAAGTGTTATTGTGTGTGTTTTGCCTGCTCCTCTCTGTGTTGTCTTGATGTGTTTGGTATCGGTTATTTTCCTGTTGACAAAGTGTACACAAACCATATTTCTCTCTTGGGGTTAAGTAAGGGGCATGTGTGTTTATTTTGTGGGTGTACATTTCTGCATATGTATAAATGCACGTGTGTTTGTAAATGTTTGTTTGAATGTGTGTGTGCGTGTGCCTGTTGCAGTATCAGAGTATGCGTCTGTCAGATGTGCACAGAAAAGCCCAGCTGTGGCGAGGTATAGTCAGCATCAGTCTGATAGAAGGTCGCAGCCTCCAGCCCATGGATAACAACGGCCTCAGCGACCCTTACGTCAAATTCAGGCTGGGCCACCAGAAGTACAAGAGCAAGGTAAACACACTCCTTTTTGTAAAATGTGTGTATAATATATGACATACATATTTCATGTAAACAATTGAGACACATGAACAAACAGTGTATTTCCTTCTGGTGTTTACTCAGACAATTCCTAAAACGCTGAACCCACAGTGGAGAGAGCAGTTTGACTTCCACCTGTATGATGAGCAGGGAGGCTTTGTGGACATTACAGTCTGGGACAAAGATGCTGGCAAGAAGGATGACTTCATGGGAAGGTACAGTGGTCTTAATCAGTCTTTCTGGATATGTAGCTATATCAGTCTTTTGTTAGATTGTATAGATAGAACAGGTGTAGCTTACCAAAATTAAGCATCTCTTTGACTTTAAGGGCCTATTCAGAAAGAGAAAAGAGTTGAACAATGACCAATTCACTCATTTTTTTTAGTATAGAATGCCTGTGCAAATTTAAACCCTGGGTTGTATCCTGTTTCCTGCGGAAAGTCAAAGTTTTTCTAGTTTTTCATCAGAATGGAGACACTTGAGGAAGTATTTGCTGTGAACTCTTTGACCCAGTCAAGTAATTACTATTGGTTTGCCTTGATATTAAGTGCAGTGCAAATAGACTGAGGGCAATGCCAGAAAATCAATTCAATCAAAAGGAGATGCTCTCAAGTGTCTACTTAAAGGTGTTCATTGTGTTAGCTTTGGCGAAATTGTCTGCGGTTGCTAATATCCTACACACAATGCTGGCTATGTGTATATTATTAGGTTGTTGCTAGTGCTATGCTCCAGTGCAAAGTGCAATGTTTATAATCTTCTTGATGAGCTCTTAACTCTGAAATGGATTAGACACTCTTTCTGAAGGTAAATCTAAGACTCTTTCTTTATATACTTTCTGTGATAATTATTACCTTACAGGCTAATTTACTTCAGCCCTAAACATGGCTACACAGGCATTTCTTTAGGTTTAGTCTTTATTGTCCTCTGTAGCTTTTCTTGGCTTACCCACCTTTTTACATTTTTTTTTACTATCAGGTTACCCACAAAATGTTTAGTGTTCTAACTCTGTAATTTTGTTTCTATTTATGTGTGTGTGTGTGTGTGTGTGTGTGTGTGTGCACACTTTAGGTGTTCCATTGACCTATCACTTCTCAGTAAAGAACACACACACAAGCTGGACTTGCCACTGGAGGAAGGTGAAGGTGTGCTGGTGCTGCTGGCTACACTCACTGCTTCAGCTGCTGTTTCCATCTCAGACCTGTCAGTCAACATGCTTGATGACCCACATGAGAGACATCAGATCATGCAGCGATATGTGAGTTTTATTGCAAGGGTGGCCTTGTGTTGTGTATGTGAGTTTAGCATAAAATTAATACTTTTGTGAGAAAGGTTACGCAGTGAGAGCTCAAATAAAAATGTTATTATTTTTTTAAATAAAAGAATGAGCGTGAATATGCCAAAAGTTTCCTTAATCATTCATTAAGTGCTCAAAATCTACATACTTAATTTTTCCTTTCATCATTACTTCACACACAACTACAATAATTTCACATAGTCACACTTTATATTACTGATTGACTATATACCTAATACTATGGCTTATTCCCTGGATTGATTGCTGTATGATGCAAGTCGACAGTCGTCCAAGTTACAAAAACAAAGAGTATCCTTCACGCATTCGTCATCAGACTTCTGATTGTTGTAAAGTCACAATTTATAAAGAATCTCACTTATTTATCAAGAACAATTCCTTTTTTTCATAAACTGAAATTTGAAATAAACTGATTTTAGAGGAAGTGAGGAGGAAGATGTTTCACAAAAGGAAAGGAAGGAAGGAAGAAGTTTGAGAGGTCAGGGAAGAGAAATCTTTTCTCTTATGGGCACTACTGAGATGAGCTGTTTGGACTAACTGTTTGGGAAAGATGGAGGCTCACATCGCTGGTTTGATTCTGTTGCTATGATTCACGCCACCAGTATTGTGCAGTATTTGCATCAGCATCGTGCAGTGAGTTGTGTGTGTTACGCATTTATGATTAATGCATGTGGGCTCATTTATTTGTGTGTAAAATGTCCTAGCTTGTTAGCCAGTCATCATTGATTTAAGCTTAGTATTAAAGAGTGAGAGAGAGTGAGAAAGAGAGCCCTAAGGCCCCATCTGCTCCAGAGGCCCTCCACTCAACACAATGCTTTCAATGTCTTTGTCTTAGACTAGTTAACCCTTCACACCCTGTCATCCTCACTCCTTGCCACAAAGAGACACTCAAACACAACTCACACACATGTTCACACACTTTCAATAGATTTCATTCACTGACAGCCTTGACATGGGACATTTCTCTGCACATCAACAGAATGTTGTATTGTGTTATTACTCAATGCTGCAGCCATATTTGCTTCCAGTCATTACTTATTCTAACAGAAAGAAAGAAAATATTTGTTCACTTAATGTTTTTAGTTAAATTTAGGACTTAATAACCAAATAAGATACTCTATTTGTTTTATCATTTTTGTACAATTACATTTAATTGTCTGGGAGAGTTGTAGTAGTAAATTTTCCCATGAGTACCACTTAGTTACATGTGCTTTTATGTGTGGCTGTACTGTGCATGTGTGTTCACATACTGTACAGTAACTATCTGCGTTTGTGAGATTATAGGATGTGTTCTGATTTCAGTTAACGGTATGTCCCAGCTGGTGTGTGTTTGCGTCTTTCGGTGTGTGCCTAGGCACCAGCGGCGAGGCTCCACAGGCCAAACACGGGTGCCACGACCTACATAACCGTGGCGGTGCCTTATTGGCTAGCCACGGGAGGTCGGCCACTCTGCTCCGCGCTGCAGCAACCACCTAAGATCAGAGGGGGGAGCTCTAGGACTGAGACACACACACACGCTGTGCCTCTCTTCACAGCCACAAAATGAGGACGGGGCGCAGGAGTGTGTGTGTGTGTGTGTGTGTGTGTGTTTGCGTGAGTGTGTGTAATAGGGGGCGAGAGGTAAAGGATGAGGGTTGCACCGGGAAGGGAAGGCGTGTAAAATGAAAAGAAAAAGCTATTTCACCTCTCTCACAACTTGTGCAGACCCCGTTTTTCTGCTCGGCTGAAGGCGAGACATTTTCCTTCCTTCGCCTACCTCTTTTCCTGTCTCCTTCTCTCTCCCGCACTCCCCATCTCTGTCCCGCTCTCCCGGCAGCCTCAGCTCTTTGTCTGTCGCCACTGTGGCCCTCCCGTTAGATGAAGGGATGGAGAGATAGAAGGTGGTGGGAAGGTGGGGGGTTGCAGATGGAGGGGCACAGCGAGGTCGGTTAGAAGACTTGAATGGTCTCTACCTATTAACATATTCCTTTTCCCCAGACTGCCCGTCTTTCAGTTAGAGAATTTAATATAGATGTACCTTATCAAAGACCACTGATAAGACCAAGTACCACCACTAATACATAACAGTGCTGCTCAAAGCTTACTAATCTGCCCTGTGTGTGTGCGCGCATGTGTAGGTAGGTGTATGTTATTATGCTTGGGCACATTTTTACTGACTGGTATTATCAGCTTGAAATCAGCTGTCCAGCACAAGCCTGCACAAAGCATTCACTACCGCTAATCACAAACAGGCACACAAACAGACACATGCAAAAACAGTACCTTCCTGCGTCAGCTATCTAATAAAAAGATGGGGGTTGGCAGAGCAATACAAGTACCATGCTGTCATCATCACAGCTTTAAAGAGCAGATACCTTCACAAATGAGAATGAGCAAGAGAAGAGAATTGAAATCCTTTGCTCGTCCCAGCCATCAGCGGTGTGGCCAACCCTGCTCATCATGAAAACACACACGCAAGATTACTTTAAGGCAGTGTAGCAGTGAATTGTTGCAAAAAAAAAGTGTGAATATTGCAAAAAAAATCCCACACCTTCATAATTGCACCCTTCAATAACTTGAATCTCAAAGAAAACATTACGGATTTTAAATCCTAGAAATGTCTTTGTCACATACATGCACACACACCTATATACACGCCACACCTTATGTGGTCACAATCAGGTCACTCTGCTGTATTTGGCAGGTGTTTCTTCCTCATTCCAATCTGTGGCCATTGAAGAAAGCAAATAATAGACACCTGAGTGCTGGGATCTGAAGCTAGCGCACTGCTCATTAATGTCTCTCTCATTCTAGCTGTTCTGCATTGTGACGGCTTTGTGTGTGTACGTCTGCCAGGTTTGTGAATGCCTCTTTACACTTGCATGTGCCGCTTGCATGCGTGTGAATGAGTACACATGATTTTCTACTGCAAACTACTTTGAATTCAGCTGACGGCAGAGCTATATGCAACACGGTGCAATACACTTAGTGACAACTGCCTTAGATGTACTATTGCTCACCGTAACCTTTCCTTCATCCCTAATTACTGTTTCCCAGAAGTAGAGAGGGACAGAGGGAGAGAGGGAAAAGGAGAGGAAGAGATTTATGCATTATGACGGCAAAGGAGCACACACGCTAATGGCTCTTAATGGGTCTAAGGTGGCCGTAAGATGGGTGGATGAGAGAAGGAGGACATGGTGACCTCCGCTGAAGTGGTGGCACTTCACCACTCGCTCCTGTATACACACACATACACAACATTCACACACACGCACACACACACACGAACACACACAACATACACACAACACACACACACCGGACCTGCAATACCTCTCCCACCCACTCTGGTGCACTGCTCTAAGGTGAAGAGAAAGGACACAACCTGAACAGGAAGTGAGATAAGCAGCTGCAGTAAAGGAGGGGCAGAGAGCAAACTTTGAGAGGGAATCTTGACAGACAGTGATGCTGTGTTGATGAACAGGAGTGGGAATTGGAGGAAGAGGAGGAAGTTGTTAGCACTGGGTTTGTGTTTGAGCATTTCACTGACACTGTCTGCGTGTGAAATGTTATATGGAGCGCTGATGAAAGGTGACACGATGCAAAGATGACAGCGAGTCATAAGCCTATGGCGGGGCTGATTCATTTGTGTGTCTGTTGAGTGTGACAGAGACGGGAAGAAGATGTCACAGTGACAAGCTGTCAATCACAGACAGGGCGGGGGTTTGTATTTATGAAAAGCCAACTCTGTCCTTCCATTTTTCTCTCCTCTCCTCTGTTCATCCCTTCTTTTCATCTCCTTCTTATTCCCATCATTCCACCTGCGTGCTGATGGGGGTGTGGGGGAGACGTAAATGAGGGAGTGGGGGTAGGTCTTGGCCTCCCTTCATCTCTCTTTCTCTCTACCTGTCCATCTGTCTGTCTATTCCGTCTTTTGCTGTCTGTCTTTCTGATAAGGATTTGAATCTTTGTAGAGGATGGGTGTGTTTTCTCCACCAGTGGATTGAGGATGAACCTTAAATGTCCCCTCATGGAGTCTGTATGGCAGGAGGAAGGGATAGAGTGTGGATGATGGGTTGGGGGTGTAGAAATATCTCTGTATCCATACATTAAAGACGTAATTTTCTTCGTTCAATCCATGCAGTGTATCTGTGTGTCAATATGGACACAATTGCTGTAGTATTGTATTGAAATGATAATACTTTGATCTTTTTGGTACGATTTCAAAAGGCGGTTATTTTTTGATACTGTACTTAAATGCATGTAAAAATGTTTTTCTATAAACACAAGTGCACAAATGTTAAATGTCCAAACATAAACGGAATAAACTAAAAATACAGTCCAAAGTTGGAAACACTTTGATTTAAATCAAGAATTGTCTGATCAAGTAAACTTGATTACACAACTGACCCATAAAATACAGTCTAACTTGGGGAAATTCTGGTCCATAAATATCTGATTAAATACTGAGTAAACAAGATTATGAGTCTGACCAGACATTTGATGCCAGCTTTTGGTATAGTTTGTACAGACACATTTTTGTCAGTACCAAAAAAATATTGACGTTTGATTCCTAGGTACGTTATCGGCATCATGACCTGTCCTGCTGTTGAACATTAACACACTAACTAGTCAGCCTTTAGTTTGCCCTCGTCTCTTCTGCTGTTGCCTCCCTCATGCCCTCTCTCTGACTCCTTTCCTCCCTGTGTCTGTCCCCTTAGCTGCTCGCCAATAATCACAACAAGCAGCTGTATCTTCAGAGAAATCGTGCCTTAAAATTGAGAGTTGTCCCCTCTCTCCCTCTCTCTTTCTGTCTCTTTCACATGCTCTCTTTCCCCCTCTCTTTCTTTCGCACACTCTCCTCTCATCTCCTTTAGAGAGCTTTTGGACAATGATATCGCTGGAAACAGGCAGAGTCTGACAGAGTTGGTAATAATGAATTAAGTCTGTAGCCTGGCCCTGACTCTGAAATTTAAATTATAATTACTCCTGTGGGGATGGAAGGGGTTATTGCCAGAGAGAGAGAAATAAATTGAAGTGAAGTGCATTTCCACTCTGCTTTTAAGACACGCCGACATGCTACTCAATTTGGCCTCAGTGTAGGTTTTCTATGCATGTGTTTATACCTGAGTATTTGGGTGTGAACAAAAGCATGAGTTTATGATTGTATGTGTGTCTGTCAATGCGTGCCCATGTCTTGGTTTCCACAGGTCTCCCTCTATTCTGCAGATTTACAGACTCGTTTTTTCACTGTCATCATTCCTTCTCCTGGTTATTAAAACCCTGTACATACAGTATTTCCCTTCTTATTATAAACAATCGCAGGGCCTCATGGCAACTCTTGACTGTGCATTTAAGTGTGTCTTTATGGTGTGTGAGCATACAAAAAAAAGAAAATATGTCAGGGGGGAGAGTGTGTTTGTGGGAGTAAGCTTGTGTCCTTGACCTCGTGTTTTACAGTTGGTGTGTTTATCTATTGTGACTGTTACAGTTGTCCTCTTTTGTTTGGATGTTGTGCAAACTGGATAGTGTGTGTGGAGGTCAGTTTGTGTTTGCCTCATAACTATGATATCACTGCCAGTCACGATTCACTGGATGTGTGTACTCACCACAATATCTCTCTGATTATTATATTAATAGCCTAATACTTTCTCTTTACGTCTCTCTGTAAAGAGAACAAACACACAAACCGAAGTGTAGGCAGTTTACAATGAGCCCTATAAAGACACATTAATATATCTCTAAGATGTTAAAAATCCTGCTGTAATTTCTTGTAAATTTGTTTCATATTCCTATGTTGTTATATTGTGATGTGTTTTCTTTTTTCACCTTTGTGTTTCTTTTTCTGCTGATATTACTGCTGCTATTCACACACCCTCTTAACACCTTATAAACACACAACATATAAATACAACATTGTGAGGAAGCGATTCATGGAGTGACTAAAAAAGTAAATACTAGCCAGAGATTTTCAATAACATTTTCCAGACTGGCAGTGTACACCAGTCAGTGAATCTGTTTTGGGTTAAAAAAAAAACAGACAATTTATACAATAATACACATCAAACTTCTGGAGAGATACAGAGAGGATGTCCAAATCTCATACAAACATTGTCTGCCTCAGACTGACACTCTTCTCCTCAAAGTCATTATACAAAACACTATGGGAAACACTACTTTTCACAAAAATAAAGAGAGAGATAGAACTCTTTACTCTGTAACTCACTAAGTGAATAACTTAAAAGTTAATAGAAGTATTTGCAATATTGTATAGTTTATGGGACAGTTTTTTGTGCATTCTCACCTTAAGTTAGCCTTCTCATTGTATGTGAAAACCAGGTATAATGCTGAAATCTATTAAGTTTTAATACTTGATTGACATGTTATAGTGTTGATCTCCCCTGTTGTCTGTAATGAGCCCTCTTTGTTCTACTTTTATCTGTGTACTGTTTTTATTTGATGTAACCTTTTTACAATATATTTCTGCATGGCTCATCATCTTTACCAACATCAGTGACGTTCTGCTTTATGTAAAAAGTATAAAGTTAGAAAAGATTTCAAACAGACAAGCACGGCTATTCAGGGAAATTAAATCTGGCCATTTGTCCTCGGTTAGACTTCACTATAAATGCCAGCTCTACATTTTCAAATAAGGACTGTTAAAGGACATATTCTACCCTTTCCTCTCTTAATGAAATGTCAGGCTATTGACCTGACTTTCTCTTCAGTGCTAATTTGCCGTCCTCTTTGACCTTTCACCCCTGTTCCTGTGATGTTTCAGAACGTGTGGAGGTCCTTCCATAACCTGAAAGATGTCGGTGTGGTGCAGGTGAAGGTCATTAGGGCTGAGGGACTGATGGCAGCAGATGTCACAGGTAAGACGATGACCTTCAGTCCAAACTACCAGACGATAACCTCTGCAGTTCCCATACACATACACAAGTTAGTTCCTTGTTTTTACACTCTTGTATTCATTTTCATATAATAATACACCTAAAAATAATCTGACAAATAGGCCTAAATTTTTTGCTGTTGTTTTGCAATTTCTGTTGATACTTTACTATCAGAGTGAGAACTACAGAGCATCTGATAGGTAATACCATCAATTACAAGAGTAATCTTCGCTTTAAATAACTTTTACTTGAGTTTTGCATCTAGACATTGAACAATTCTTGTGGCACATTTTCCTCCACCAGCAATCTGCCATATATCTAGCCACAGATAAAGTCAGTGTGTAATTTTGGTTTAAGGGATGATCCTCAGAGAATCCTCAGAGAGAGTTAAAGTCTACTTTGTGCAGGACGCTAAATTTGTCTCTGCATTTTTAGAAAAGATGCAGGCTGCTCATTTGAATAATAGAGAAAAAGTACATATTTGAACCAACAAATCTCTCTCCCTCCTCCTGCTCTTTCTCTGCTTGCTCTCTCTGAATCCTCTATTCTCCATTAATTCTTACTTTTAATTAGGTCTACAGTGGACAGGCCTAGTTTTTCACTCTGTATTATCTAGTAGAGAGAGAAGGAAATGTGTGTGTGTGTGTGTGTGTGTGTGAGAGAGAGAGAGAGAGTGAGAGAGAAAGAGAGTGAGAGAGAGAGAGAGAGAGAGAGAGAGTCTAGAGTTTTTCTCCATTTGAAACAGCCACAGTCCCATTAGCCAATACAGAGTGGAGCTGGTTGATTTGGGTTATTGCGTGGAGCGACCGGAGCAGCCGGAGTTCAGGGCTAATGGCTCTCTGGCTCTTGTATTTCACTCGGAGCAGAAATTTGCTCCGTGACCTCGTTGTAGAGCTCATCATTCAGTCTGAGCTTCATGGATCCTTTTAAAAAACCAAGAGTAAAACTGTGCAAATATAATGTCTATTGGCTGTTTGTTTGACTTTCACTTTGTCTCTGCCAGTTTGGTGTGGTCATAGAAAACAGGTTGGATTTCAGAACAGTGTCTTTATGGCCTGTGGTGATTTGAAATTATTGCTACAGGCTGATGTCACAGTAAAAGTGCAGCATGTCTTGAGGTTCCAACCAGGGCTAATATTTAACTTAGACACTACTAAGCCTGAATACAACACGAATGGAGAAAAATGTTGAATTCAGATTTAAAACCCTACAACAAACATGCTTTCTTTGGAAAAACATTTGTGACATCATGACATGGGACAGTTTTTAATTAGACTGATGAAGGAGGAGAAATGTTCTACATTTAAACATGTGCCTACCTAATATATTTCACATTTTGAAACTTGGATTTCACATACTAAAAAACAGAATACATGTTTTGTACAATGTTTTCACATCACAAAATATGGGCTTTAGTTTCATGTGGGTTTTCACACAATTTTTGTTATAGCCAGAGATCTCAAATTCAGACAGTCCAATTTGTATCATTATTTGAAAAGAAAGTATATTTCTTTTGTTCACCACCACCAGATTCTTCCAGTCAATGTAACCCCATAAAGATAGATGTAATAGACTGATACAGTTAACAGACAGGCAAAGGATTGTTTCTAGATGGTTTATTCCTGTTTTGTGTATGTGTATATGTGTGTGTGTGTGTGTGTGTGTGTGTGTGTGTGTGTTTGTAGAGGTATAATGCTCTGTTGAGACAAGGACAGTGAGAGAGACAGAAGGAGAGAGAAACTGAAGAGAAAGAGACACACAGAGGGTGTCTGAAATAGACACAAGATAACGCAACAAAGAGGGGAAAAGGATGAGACAGACAAGTGAGGGACCTCTCGCAATGCACACACACACACACACACAGACAAACAGACAGACAGAGAGAGAGGGAGAGAGAGAGAGGAGGTCAGTGAGAGAGAGGGAGAGTTCACCATCTCTCTCCCATTCACGCTGCCTGTCTCCACTCCTGTCTTTTCCCCTCCTCCTCCTCCTCTCTCTCTCCTCTCTGGCCATCTCTCTCTCTAATTGAAGTGTTTTTGTGGAGTAGCTCCTCTCCAGCCCGAGTAGGATAACTGAAAATAGTCTCTAAAACCAACAATCCCTTTTGTCTGCCAGCTCTTGTCCCTCTGAGTGGATGCTATACTGTTAGAACATTTCAATAGTAACACACACACACACACACACACACTTCCAGCAGCAGTACCACAGCATGTGTAGACTTTTGTGTTAGATTTTCCTCAGCATCACTGACATATGGAGGAATACAGTAGATAATCTTGTGTAGCCTATTAAAAGCTATGAAGAAATGGAAAATAAATGCAACTAAAATGCAATTGATTTACATTTTAAAGTCTGAATCATAATTAATTGTGATTATACAAGAACATGAGAGCGTGCCTTCCCTCTCAACCTCAAACTCCTCACTAACTCTAAGCTTCCTGCGAGGCAATTACAGCGTGCTCCCTCGTCTCCGTACTGTATTCATCCTCCACACTTATCTTAGGGCAGCCTGAAATGAGTTTGAGCCCTCTCCTTGCTGTAAACCGTATTCCAGCGCCACAGAGATGGGACCTAGAGGGGGGAGGAGCTTTGCTTGGACATTACCTGGATGATCTCTGAGTGGCGCTCAAACCTGAGCGTGTAATTGGTTAAGACAGCCGCCTCTGGTGCTGGCGGTCAATAAGGTGAAAGTTCATCACCAATGACAACTGTCACTTTGCGGCAACACTGCCTGCCATGTCATTAAAAACTGAATATTAGAGAGAAAATGGGGGAGGGACGGGCTTCTGCAGAAATAATTTCCATCTCTTAATTTGGGTGATTGCATTTAAATTTAATCAGACTTGATTTGCGGGAACAACATTATAATCGCTTATGCTATGGAAACTCTGGGATAATTAAGGAGGATTTGAACTATTCACTAACGTAAAAATATTGAATGAAAACTGATACCAAAATATATTTTTAATAATACTTATTTACAATTTTAAAATAAATTTTTGTGTGTAGATATAATTGGTCCAAGAAAGAATTTGTATTTTAATACAATACATACTTTATTTGGTATGCAAGCAATTTATATGGCTAACAACGTATGTACAGAGAGATGCATTGAGAAGTAGGCTCTTGAGTCCATTGTCTTTTGTCTGTTTTAATGTATCTTGTTTTCTATCGTAGGAGTCATAGCTGTCAATATCCACTTCAAACACTCTACATCAATAGAGTGCCACAAACAGATATGAAAGGCAACACCTACGGCTCAACATTGATCACGGTGACATTTACTTTGCACACCCACTAAATGTCCTGCCCTTGTCACAACATTTGAAGAAAATCACACCAATCAATGGCACTAACACACACACACATGCTTCTCATGCTACACACAGACGAACACAGACAAGCACATACACAAATGCAGCAGGAGGCTTTGAACTCAATCCCAACTTTATTGAGTCTTATTATGCAACATCGCTGCTTTACTAATATTTCAGTATTCTTGATATTTTCCCTGGGAATGCGTGTGGGACATTAGTTTTTTTTTTACTTTCTGACCCAGTCTTTTCAAGTGATAAGCTTGAACAAACAGCGCAACGGCTCCCAACAGTTTTAATAAAAAGTAATGATCAAAGCCAGAATTAAGAGTTTTGTTGTTTTTAGTTCATTTTGAGGCAATCGAAGGGAGGCGGGCTGGCAGGCATGGGGAGCTGGTCTCACTCCTTTCTGTGTACAAAGAAATTGAAATGTGAGATGTTAGTAAACAAATAGAGAATATATAGGACATTACTGGTTTTGATTATTATAGTACAGTATGCTATTCTCAGGAGGAAGAAATAACTCTGTGATTATGTTTATTTCTCCTCTCGGTGTCTCTTTACCCGTTACATAACTGTAGTAAATTCTGAATTGAAAGTTTTGTTGGAATGAATTAGCATTAATGAATATGATTTATAGTGAACCATATATCATATGTTTTATAAGATCTAAGGGTCTTTAAAGTTCTCACATAGTGTATTAAAGTTTTATCTTTTGGCGGCGACAGGCCACTTAAAGTATTTCATTTGTGATCCTTGGTTTTTCAAATGATTTATTGTGTAAGATAAATCTAAATTAGGATATATGTTGTTCTGTTATTATTCCTGTAAAATGTCATGTGTGTTATATTAATGAAACTAGTATTGCTGCCAGTGTAATAAACACAAGTTTAATTTCAATAGCCTAAACCACTGTTTTTTATTAATTGACATTGCTGTCAATAGAAAAAGGCAGAAAGGATGGTGAGGAAATGTTTTCTCTGTCATTCATTCATCATTTAATTCTCATGTTGCTTTTGCTTTCCCTCATCTTGTTGCCGCTACCATCTCACCACTCGCTTGGAATCGCTAATCATGAACCAGCTATGTTTCTCACACCCCTGCTCGGCTGTCTTTATCTCCTACTTTGAACTCTTCTCTGGCCTTCGGAGCCACATCGCTCTCTGTGTTTTCAGTACCGTCCATTCTCTAACTCTCTCCTTTTACCCTCCCACCTCCTCCTTGTGACTGCCGAGGGCACAGTTGTCCTGTAGCTTATCTTCTAGTTGTCCATGTTCCCAGGGTGTTGATAGAAACAGCTTGCAGCTGTTCCTCTGATATACTGTTTTATGATATACACTGCATCAAAGCTAAAAATGAAAGAATCACATTATTACAGGTCTGATAAGTCCAGCGTTGGAGCTTTCATGTGGTTTAAGGGGAGGATGCTATTTACTATCTGTCTTAATAATATGAGGGATTGAAGATAGACGAAAGCTATTGAAATTACTCAAGATTCTCACCTTCCTTAAAACCTCAAGGCAACAAAAGTTTAGTGTCTGCTGTATTTATGTTTCTGTTTTCATTAAGAAGGTCATTCTTCTGTGCTTTTCTTTTTGTGTGGCAGGTAAGAGTGACCCATTCTGTGTGGTGGAGCTGAGTAACGATCGGCTGCAGACGCACACTGTCTACAAAAACCTCAACCCAGAGTGGAACAAGGTCTTCACTTTGTGAGTGGCTTTTACATTATCTATATTTCTAACTATATGTGTGTATCTATATACACACACATATAGTTTGTATTCACTGCAGTAATAAAAATTGTTAACTGACACTTTTTAATTAAAGACAGCAACAGTCACAATAATAAAAAAGGAATATGATCTAATTCCTCAAATTCAAAGCATAGCATAGCAAATAGTTTTGTGTGTGTGTGTGTGTGTGCGTTTTAAATAAAATGTGGACATATCTGAGCATTGAAAAATAAGCCTACTGATCACAGTTTATAGTGTAGAATGCTATTGCCATTAAAGAACTTTGAACTATATTCACAATCATTATTAGTACAACTTCTCATTTAATAGTGTTTTAAAATGTGTTGCATTCCTACAAAAATATAGTTTTACTGAGACTATAGTTATATGTGAATGTTCTAATTCTACATACTTTTTTAAATATATATGACGCAGTTTCATTCAGGAGAAAAAACTTGTGAATTCCCAGTAATGGGAGAGATTAATTTAGTCTTTCTTTGAGTGCACGTCTTTCTCATAGCCTCCTTTCTATACATAACATCAGGCATCTTCTTGCTAGCCTAGTTTTCAATAGATGACACGTCTGATCTTCACACTTTAGTTCTACTTAGCTCATGCAGTAATGTAGTACAATATCACATAAAGCATGTTAATGGTGACTTTAAAACATTTATGTAAATATAATACAGGGTTTCAAATATGAGGTACTTGTTATGACTCATATAGCGTTTGAGATTTTAAACTGTTTTCTATGTGTCTTTAATATTTAAAGAAGCTTGTGAAAGATGTGATAGCTTTTACACTGTTTCAGTTTGTAGCCCATATTTCAGGATATGTGTCATTGGTGTTGTCTTTGTGTGTGGTCCAGTAACGTGAAGGACATCCACTCAGTACTCGAGGTCACTGTTTATGATGAGGACCGAGACAGAAGTGCAGACTTCCTGGGGAAAGTGGTGATTCCTTTACTAAATGTGAGTCAAAGGCAGATTTCTGTGTGTGTTTCTTTTTCTTTCCCCTTGGGGATAATAGAGAGAACATAGAGGAACGGAAAGAATGAAAACACACAGTGGAAGATATAAAAAGCAGAGGTTATTTTTGCAACTACACAGATGAGACTGTTATTATTTCAAAAAGAGTAAGAGATGACAGGAAGGAGAAGAAATGGAAGACAGACTGAGCAAAAAGAGTGATAGGTGAGAAGAAAGAAAGTGAGGGGATGAGAGATGATACGAAAATGACACTGATCGAGAGATGGAACGATGCGATTTAGAGAAAAAAGAAAGACAGAAGACAGTCTCTTATATTTGAAAAAATATAGATAGCCTGTGAAAGAACTGTGTGTCTAATATATCTATGCTCTGCTGTACAGTATGATTCCCCAGGATAGTTAATTTCTGTTTGACAGAGCCGAGCTGCAGTGGGTAATGAACAGGTACTTGTCAGAGTTGCCACAGTTGTTTTGGGTTCCCTGTCAGCGCCAGCAGCTGGGGTTCAAAGGTGGCTCAGGGAGCCGATTCAGCCGGGTATTGCCAGACAGACGCCTGTCATGTCCCTCTCCCACAGATCCAAAATGGAGAACGCAAAGCCTACGCCTTGAAAAGCAAGGAGCTGACAGGGCCAACAAAAGGGGTCATCTTTCTCGAAATAGACGTGATTTTTAATGCTGTAAGTCTTTCTTTTGCTTTTTGATTCTCCTCCCTGATTTTTTTTTTATTTTGCCCCCCACCCCCATTATCCTCTCTCTCCATCCCTCTCTTGTTCTCTCCAGGATTGCCCCCCTCTACGCTGCTGTTGTCTTTATTCTGTTTGTCCCCCCCTCCCTCGCTTCCATCTCATCCCTCGTCCCTTGTCCCTCGTCCTCGTTTTGGCTTTAATTATCGAAGACTCCCTCTAAACAGCCTTTGTTCGCCCATTCACCATCGCTGTGTGTGTCCTATAGCGGCCATCTTACAGCTTTCTCTCCCGCTCTCTCTAGCCTCTGACATGGGGCACGCTCTATGCATGTGCTGCAATGCTAACGCTACATCAGTACACAATGTGTTAAAAAAATACACAATAATCAAAATATAGTTTCTCACTAATTTATTGTCATCATCTCTGTCAATTTACTTACGTGTATTATTTTAAATTAGTGTGATTTTACTCTCACCGTTTGCTGTTTAAGATGTTGTGTGTGCTCACTCCATCCTCCAGGTGAAGGCTGGTCTCAGGACATTGATTCCCATTGAGCAGAAGTATATCGAGGAGGAGCCCAAAGTATCCAAACAGGTACCTCAGCAGTCAACACTTATCTTCTACCACTTCGCCTTATTTATATCTGTGTCCACCGCTGCTTTACTGTCTTAAGTAAAACCAACAAGCCCGGAGAGTGGCATCTTATAAACCACAACAACTGTGTGGGCAAGATACAACAGGATGATTGAAGGAATAACAGAATTTCGTTTCTTATTTTTCTTCCCTCCTCTCTCTCTTTTCTCCCCCCCTCTTATCCACTCTGAGTGGTGAATAGAAATGTCAAGCTGTCAGCTCTGGGGTGCATAAGTAGATTGGCCATCCTTATAGTTGGCCCTCTTTGCCACTGCTGCTTTGCACTTCATTGTCACGCCGCTCAGTGTGGCGGCACCACAAAGAGCTGAATAGTAGGGGCTGGCCCACATCAGACATGTCATATGAGTGACCGTTTGGGCTCAGCAGTCAATGCTGCGCCACGCACAGCCGAGCACAGCCGTGCCGAGCACAGCACAGCACACAACCCCAGCTCCCATACCACCCTTTTGTCAGCCCTCCATCTATTCACTTTTTTCCTCACTTTTTCTGCTTTCTCTCTTGCTCTCTGTCTCAGCCCACTCTACACTTTTCTCCCAAGTGCAGAATCCTTTTTTCATCTCCATTTCACCTCTGACTCATAGAGATGACCCATGTCAGCGTCTCGCAATGATGATGTCACTGGCTGCTTTGGAGGGATTGCCCTGTGAGGGCTCTTTTGTGTGGTAGCAGGTCCCCTGCTGTTGCTTGCTGCTTAGTGTGCAGACACACACACAGAAAGGAAAAGAAAAAAACATATAAGCTGCCTGCCAAACAAAACCATTTAATTGTAATTATGACATTTGACTGAATAAATGACTTCACCAATTTTCTAAATGTTTTCAAGGAATAACTCAGGGCTCTCTTTGAAATAATTCATGAAAAATTAAATAGTCTTATCACGGCAGTTATGGCAATAATGAGCCCAGAAGAGTACAGCATGTACATCAAGTGCGTGCGCTGAGGAACGTGGAAATGGATGATTCACAGTCTTGCTGTCCTCAGGGTCTGTGTGTCCCCAGCAGGACACTATACAGTCATCCTTAGTTTGGCAACAAAAAGCTTATCATAATTATACATAGAGAAGGAAGAATCCTCCTCTCATCTAGCATCAAAGCAGCCAAGCCACCCCTAACCACATGCAAATCCAGCCGGAAACACACTTACGTTCAGACAATAGACTTTACTGTAGTGCTACAAACATATGCTGTATACCCACTGTATACACACATTCAAACACACACACAATTTCCCAAAGAGTAAAATAATGGCCTAGAATTTTTTGAACAGCGATCTACAGAGACAGTTTGTCCTTTGGGAGCACTTTCTCCTGGTGGTGACCTGATTGGGTGGTTGGCGGTCTGCGCTGCTGTTATGCTATTCCCTCAATGGCTGGCAACCCAGGGGGAGGACAGCAGTTAGCCTGTTTCTCTCATATCTGGCCAAATGCATTGAGAACCCTCAGGGAGGAGAATCCACGGACTGTGCTGAAAATTGTTATTATTGTACTTAACTTTATCACTGGAAGAGTAGACTTAAAGAAACATTGCGAGTCAGCTTGTCATATTTAAAGCAACCGTTTGTCCTTTACACTGATCCACATCCATATATAGGTTTGCAGCCATAGTTAGGTCAAAGCTGCAAATCTCAAGTTGTAAAACTTAATGCTCCAAAGTGACAACAGAATAAGACACTACAGGGTCTGAATCTATCATATTAAGACTTACTGACAATATGTCATTTTAATGGAGGTGCTAATTATATGCTTTCTTACTAAATTGTGATGAATCCAGACCTTAACTAAACATAAAGGAGAGGAAATTGACCGCTTTAACAGTATGTCCTCACAAATGTCTCAATCAGAGATGAGCAATAACAGCTGTGCTTATGTTTGTAAGCATATAATTTTACTCCTATCTACTTACTTCTAATAATACTTTACAAAAAGTATACATGTGCTGCTAATGTGGAAAAAAACATTATATGTTTTAGAGTTATTCTCAGCTGCCTGCCGCACAAAGTTTCATAAATTATCCACAATACAACATGTTATTAAGTCTGATTACAGAATGGTCATATGTTTATGTATTTACCACCTTTACAGTGGAGTGATATAACAGTATCCCTTGCTAACACACGTTTCTGGCCTTAAGCGTATACTTGTTTTAAATGTTAAATGTGTTTTGTCTTTGCCTCCTTTCTAGCTGCTGTTACGCAACTTCAACAGAGTTAGGCGCTGCATCATGTTCCTGATCAACACAGGCTGCTACATCAACAGCTGCTTCGAATGGGACTCTCCACAGAGGAGCATCTGTGCTTTCGTGGTACGTATAGCAGGGATGAAGAACTGGAACAGAACCTTGTTTATAGCCTTTTAGGTAGAATGACTCTTGCTACAGACAGGATTATGATATATTATTATTAATTTTGTTAATCAAGAATTTAATTGAATTGAATTAACCCCACTGACATTGATGCATCATTACTATTCTAAATATATTTACTAATAATAGTCATATATGTATTTTACCAATAACACTTTGTATGCTGGTTAACATCTGCACACACACAGTAGGGAAGCATCATGTTCACAGATGTTCCTTACCAGTGAAGGATCCACAAAGTATGGATCCTTCACTGGTAATTGCACACTCTAAAGCGAGAGACTGTTGATGTCTCAAGCACAGTTAAGTACATTACCACACTGTAACCCCACTAAACACCAGTTACTCAGCATCTAATTATCTTGATATGATAGTCTCGATTAAACACTTTTTCTGGCTTTGTATTAAATGTACAAACACACATGGTATATACATGGCAAGTGTCTGTTTTGACACTCGGGGGCTGGGAATGAATGGAGAGTTGGTGTTGCAGCTTAAACAATATTTTTAAGGAAATCGTCAGACATCCAAATACTTTAATCAAATTTTGCTACAATCTGCGGAAGTATGACAAGCTGTTCCTGCAGACAGTGGAAAGTGGCAGCTTCTTTCTCTCCTCTTCATCATCTCTGTCTCTCTCTCCCTCCTGTCATCTGTGTCTGGTATTAAAAGGTGAAGTGTAATTGGACAGCAGAGCTATCAGTAAAAGACATTCTCCTGCAGGGCGGTGAGTGGCTGCATGGAGGTTCCTACCCTAAAGATGACAGAGCAGGCATTTAATCCTGTCTGGTTTAGTGTCCTGACTTAAGTAGCTACAGGACAGGTGGACCCGCCCCGCCCCAGCCCTTTACCATGGGGGCACTAAGTGTCTCCACAGCAGACATTAGACATTAGCAGCATTTGACTGTCTGACACAGCCTCTCTGTAGAGGCTGTGTGTGTGTGCATGTGTGTGTGTGTGTGTGTGTGTTTGTACAGCAGGTCACAGTGTCATCACAAGACATGGGTCAGAAGAGACATAGTATTGATCAGTTAACATTTTCCTTCTGTGTGTGTGCGAGCACACTCATGTACGCGCCTGGCGTGCGCGTGTGCTTTTGCATTTTCACTCATGTAAGGCTGAACTGGGCGTGCGTGCCCTCGTGTCATATCTTTTAGAAATAAATGAAAATGTCAGACAAAAAAATTTCAAGGAATTCACAGAATACAAGGTCACTTCAGATTTGCCAATCTACATGGTGAATAGAGAGGGGAGGATGCAGCCTTGGATAATGCACATCATGTCAGTACACACACACGCACACATGCACGCTTGCCTTGTATAGCTCTTCACCCTTTTTGAAAACACACCTTATAGTACATCAATTTCTGAGTAACAGTGCCGACTATTCATATTCTCATTGTACTCACTTAAATTCAAAGTATTCAGATGACGATAAAGGATGTATCTAGGCCAAGGACGTAGCGGTTTATAGTTTATAGAAAGTCTGAAATTTAGGTGTCATTGTGCTTTTCCTCTCTCCCCCCTCTCTCGCTCTTTTGGGAGTCTGTTATCGTAGGAGTATGCACTTAGCTAAAAGCATCAGAGTATTTAGGGCCTCTGCTCTACACAGGTACTCCCTCCCTTCCCTTCCATTTCTTCATCCCTCTCTCATTTCTCCCTCACTTTGAGAGGCCTCTTAATCACTTCGCTCATCTCTTTAAGTGGGTTTTTATGGGGGGCCATCTGGCCAAGGTGGTGCGTTCATGAAGGTGTACGGCTGTGTGTGATTATGGGCATGTGTGTCTGTTCACATGTGCATGTGTGTTTCTGTCTGGCCGTCTTTCTAGACAGATGTTACGCTTAACTTTCCAACACGGCACTAGCTACAGTGGTGGAGTTGTGGGCAATTCAACCTCTCAACTTACAAATGTGTTCACTTCTTAACTTCTTAAGTAAGCCTGAGGGGAGCATTTAAGTGTGGTCATATATTTGTGGGGTTTTGTGAATGCAAAAGTACATCAAAATGCAGTTGTCATACTTCACAACATTCCCTCCATAAAAACACTCTAAATATTCTTCATGGTTCCTTACTCTCCTTCTGCCCAATTCTGCAATGCCATCCGCATGTACACATCGCCCATTAGTGCCAGCTGTGATTAGTGTGTATGTTGTGTGTGTTTTGTGAGCATGTGAGAGAAAGAGAGATATCGCATAGTCTCACATGCTGCCTTTCTCTCTCTCTCTCACACCCACACTGCTGTCACCTACCCATCCCGACAGTGAATCAGCCACCGTGGCAGCTTTGCCTGAGGCGTTGGCACAATGGACGGGACTGGAGTTACCTCCTGTCCTGCATGATGGGTGGTGTCTGTCTGTGTGTGTGGGTGTGTGTGTGTGGGTGGGTCTTGGTGTCTCCGTCTCCCTGTCTCAGGGTTAAGCGCCTGCTTCCTCTTTCCACACCTGCAAGCTGAGTGTCTCTCCCTTCTATCCATCCATCCATCCCTGTTCCTCTTTATCTCTCCCTCCCCTCCTCTTCCTTTGCCTTCCCTCCTGGAGAGTTGAGGCCATTGTGGGGCTGAGCGGTGTTGGGTTCTGTTCTCCTGCTGCTGCCAGCTCTCCCCACGGCCCTTGCAAGACAAGGCTGTTATTGCCCCAGGGACCGCAGGCCTCAGCAGCTCTTCCTCCAAACAAATTTGCTGTAACTTTATCTGCAATTGGGCCCTGAATTGGGAGCAAATAGAGGCAGCTTTGTGAAGCTCGGGGAAGGGCGAGGGCAGCGAGCTGGGGGTTGTTGGGGAGGCAGGGGAAATGATACCGGGCTCTTTTATGTCAGGCAAAGTAGGACTCTTATCAGGAAGGGAGCCCAGACAAGGGAGCTACTTCTAGAGGAAACTGGAGCACCTATCACCTGCTTTGCATTTAGATAAAAATTCACCCTGCTGAAATAAAAAAAGGGAAAAAAAGCAAAGACAGGTACAGAAGCAACTATTTGAGTGTGTGTGGGTGGGTATGTGTGTGTGTGTGTGTCTGTGTGTTTGCACATGCCTGGCTGGCAGTTTGATACACATACACACACAGTGCAGAGACGCCATAGCAGTCAGTCTTACACACCACTCCAGGTCTCTTTAAATTGCTCCTTTGACTCCTCTTCAAAGAACCTGTCTAACTTTTAAAAGTTTTAAAGTCGGGAGTTCGTCTTTGCCCACAGCAAGGGACAGCTTTGAAAGATATATTTTCACATTTTACTGCTCTCCTGATTTGCCAAATGAATGATAGTTGAAATATAGTGGCATGACTAACAGAGAATACCAAGTCAGAGTTTAATCACCAGAGATTTAGACTCAACAGAAAATGCGTGAAGCCTTTTTGTTGAGAAGTGGGGGATATAGCATTCTTACTTCTGATAGGTACCAGTATGCAGTTGCAGTACTGTGGCCATAAAATGGTGGATGCTTTATTTTAATTTTCCATGTTATTACAAAATGACTGGCATTGACACATTGGGTTTAGTCATTCAGGCTGCTTTTTTATCAGATGAACAGCATTAATTGGGCTGGAGAGCTATATTCTGCAGGAGTACAGCAGGGGGCAGTCTAGCACCACTGAATTATGGTTAGGTCCGGTCACAAACAGGACACAGTCTCCCTCCCTCTTCCATTCTCTGGAACTTAACAGGACTTTCTAGTTGCTATCTGGCAACACTTAGTGCCAGCATGGAAATTGATGTAAGAGAGATAAAGGGGAACTCTGAAATCCAAACTTCAGTTTCACTCCACTGAGACAGAGCAGGGGGAAAGTTAGCCTGGTGTGTGGTTAATGTAAGCCAAAGTACTGAATATTACCCTCCCACAGTGCCGCGGCTCAGAGCCGTAAGGACGCGGGTTGTGTTTTGAAACAAATAATGCAAGATACAACTCTCAACGTGCCGCTCTGAGTGCTTGAATAAATCATTTTGACTTGTCTATTTTGTTAACATTTTTAATAAATCTTCTTGTGTTCAGGGGATTTCTTAATATTAAGAGAAAGCATCAAATATTATAGCTGTGATTAAATCCAACTACAGAGACCTGTCAAAATAATTTAGTTTACTGATTTTGTGTATTGGTATTTTAGCCAAAATATTACAAATTATACTGCCACGGTTTTACTTTGTTCCTGCTTGTGATTGTCCATTTTAATTATACATCTCATTTGAATTTCAGTTTGTGCTTAGATGTGAAGTTTGCCCAGTTCAATTGTAGCCTGTAACTGTATATGAAATGTTTTAGCAGATTTGACAGAGGAAAATATTATTTAACTTTGTTTCATGACAAGTGAATAGTTTTGTTTCAGCAAAAAAAATTTTTAAAGCAGTGATGATTAAGTTTTATGACAAAATAGATTTGCTGGGTAAAAGTAAATTGCTGCCAGTAGTTTGGTTACAAAATCAAATTTCCACCATAGAAGAAATAAAACTAAACTAGTTTTAAAATACATATTGATCAGTACTGTGTTAGTAGTTCAAACAATTACAGACAATATTTCATACGCTGCTAGTACGAGAAGGAAAAAGAGGCTACATCTCATTTTTGTTTTTTGTATCAAATTTCTTTACATGTTCTCTAAACTAAATTACAGAGTTTGCATAATTTGAATAATATAGAAGTACATATACAGAGAGGGACAAACACACTAATTGTGTTTATATGAATATTTTTACATCACCACTCAGGTAAGAATTAAGCAGTATTAAACGCAAGAGTGGAGCATGGTGAGCTTCCCTCTGAGTGCGTGCTCAGATATTCACTGTGAACTGTCACCGACCACTACATAATGTGTGTCTGACCACACAGAGTCATCTACAAATTATTCCCATAGACTACATCTGGAGCTTCATTTAGCATTTTCCCTCTCTTTTTTCCCCCCCCCGATCCAGCATGTTTTCGTCGTTTTTTTTTCTCCGCCTTTCTCCGGTCACTGACATCCACAGCAGGCTCCTTCCCACTCCTTCTTCCCCAGGCGAAGAGTCTGCTATCTGGTGTAGCAAGCAATGGGGGGTGGCTGTGATCGCCCAGTCCTGGTGGAAAGGTCCAGGCACTGTAGGGCCCCTATTACCCAGCCGAGGGGCATGGAAACGGGGCAGGGCTGGCCACTGCTGAGCCTGGGTGTCCGGTTCCTCTAGCTGCCAGTCAAAACTTCGCCCTCAGCTACTATAACCAAACGGAGGAGGAACGAAGGGGGACGACAGGTTAAACGACCTCAGGCAAATAGAGAAGAAAGCATTTTTTTTTAAAAACATGAAAGAGGGTTTTAGGGTTTCATATAAACATCAGGACAGTGAGGAGCAATTAATTTGTCTGTTGTGTGATAACGATACCATGAGCGATTAGAGAACCAGACACTAAATATATTTACAGTGCAATATATGCTTGCTGTAAGGTATATTTATAGCAGAGTATTTAAAAGGAGCACTGTGTGTGTCTGATGAAGATGTTAGTAAGTGTGCAGTTATTTATAGCTTCTACCAGAATAGGTTTAAAACAAGTGAGCTCCTTTGTTTGTTTGACTGAAGTCATGTTTCTGCACCTCTATTGCACATTGTTTAGTTAGAGATTATTTCAGTGTTTATCAATGTTACAGATTTGTAAATTATAATAATTTGTAGGGAGATGGATAATTTTAGACATTACATTTTGTAGAGAAAATGTGTGTAAACATGTGTTATGTTTGCCTGTGTGCGGGTTTCTGTTGCTTAGTTTACATGGTCCTAACAGCTTTTTATGATGTATGAAGGGAAATTGTTGTGTTGCTTATTAGTATACAAATATGAATTATTGAATAGTTTCTTTCTTATTCTCCTACACAGCTGTATAAGAGAAAGACTCTTTGTATGTGAGAAAGTGAAGTTGAGCCTGAGAGAGAGACAGAGAAAGATTTCGATCCTTTTGGGAGATTTGGTTGTTGCACCAAGGCCATTCAGGTTTATTTGAAAAAGATATTTAGCTGTGAGCATTATGCAAATGCACTGGACATTTCTAATGTTTAATTTATATCTCTTTTGCTTTGTATACTCAGTGTCTGTTAATTTTACATGAACTTATAGTTCCATTCAAAAGTTTGGATCTAACCCTTTCAAACTTTTCTGTCAGAAGTGGAAAAGTTGAGAAAATGTATTGTTTAATTGTGTTGTTATTGTGAAGAGTTGTTTGCATTGATATTCCGATGCATGTGTTCGTGTGTGCATGTGAAAGGAAAATGAAATACCAACGGCACAGTGTGTTCAGTTTAGTGTCCGACAGGCTCCACTACAGTAACAGTGGACCTGCATACACACTCTTGAGGGGCTGTTGAACCTCATATTCATATTAACCTTAGACTGTAAACACAATGAAGAGCTTTATTTTCACTCTCCTCTCTCTCCTTTTCCACACACACAGAAATTAAACAATTTGATTATTACTCTCTTGTTGATGCTGTTGAGCCAAACAGGAAAAATAATAATTGGTACACAGACCAGTAAATCTGCTTTATACAGTACTAGTCTCAATTTCACCACTCTTTAAAAGTTTCCCATTAAAACTGATTGTTGAACATTGATGCATTTCCATACAGAGAGTAATTAATTTCAAATCTTCTTTGCCCATATTTGAAATAATGGATTTATTCTACTTTAATTTGATAAATATGTTTTGCTACAAAATATTAAGTATTAAGCAGAGTTTAAATTTTCAGCATTTGTTATAATTGCTGCTGAGGTCTTATCAATCATGAAAAATCTCTGTATACTTAGACATGAAATTATAAGAAAAGATAAATATTTAGTTCCATTTGTTTTCTCACAAAAATATCCCTTCTCTTCCAGCTAAACTTTTTGAAACAGTTGACATAATGCGTTCTCACAGTTGACACAATGCCGCTAAATAACAAGCTTCCATCATTAGCAATTTTACTTTCCCACATATCTTCTCCCAACCACCACAATAATCTGTTGTCAGAGGCTAAAGAGCCCTGCCAAAGCCAGAATACAGGGTTTTAGAAAAGGTTAATTTTCAGATGGTACTTTTCTTGTTTGGTGATGAGAGGGGAGGTATAGAGGTTATAGTTTTGGCAGATGGGTGCAGAGAAGGTTAGAGATGGGGCATAAGAGTCTTTTGGGGTAGGAGAGAGGGTATTGGGGCTTGGAGTGACAGGGTTAGGGACATGGGGTGTGGGGTGTGTGAGGTCAGATGCTTGGGTTTGGGGTTGAGTGTGGAGGGGTCAGCTTTGACGTGCTGTGGATGAAAACGGTACATGACCTCAGCCTCTGGGATGATTGGCAAGGAGGAAAGAGGCTCTGACGGCTCGTACTCATCCTCTTCATCTCCTCATCTTAAGGCCCAGAAAGCCTTCAGGGTCAGGGTGTTGAACCTAGGCTCACCGACACCAGGCCTGTACCTTTTGTTGAAACCCAGTCTTATTTTTACGCTTTGTTCCATGGTGGTTATGATTCTGCATATGAATGTGTTTGAATATGTGTCGTTTCCAGTCACACATGTGGTCGGCGTACGTTCTCATGAGTTTTGAGGGTCAATATGGGGTCTTGAATGTATACATTCTGAGCACACACTGTTCTCATGTTTTTGTTCTCACTTTTCTTTTGTTGATGGTTTTGTCCTTTTCTCTCTCTTCAGTTTTTTGTCATCGTCGTTTGGAACTTTGAACTTTATATGATTCCTCTGGCTTTGCTGCTACCGCTGGCCTGGAACTACATCCTCATCGCATCGGGGAAGGATACCAGGCAAGATGTGGTGAGTAACCTCAGAGCTCTTTTAATTTCACTTTAGAAGCCCCTTTCCACACATTACGCTCTTGTTTTATTCAAAACATTAACCACATTTACATGCATTTCATTCCTTTGATACTTTGAAACAAACGATACGTATTTGTGCTGTAAAAAATGTGACAGGTGATTATAATCAGTATAGGTGTACAGATTAGAACACAACAAGATGTGCATTATACAGAGTCATATGAAAATATACCTTTTGAATAAATTCGTCGTAAACTTTGAGCAAAATTGGAATTTCATTTAAAAAAAATCTCGTAAAGAAATAACTCTTCCCCTTCAGGAGCTGCATTTTCAGTGCAATCTCACATTTCTCACTTTGCCTTCTTTGAGGCAAAGAAAAGGGAGAAATAATAGGCTGTCACCTTGAGCTACGTTACGCCACTTACCTGGTAGTATATTTATTTAATTCATTTATTTTTTATCTCTTATACCAATTAAATGATGTCAAAGCAATGTCATGGAGAAACAGACATGTTTTAATCATGCCCAGGCACATTTAGAGAGTAGAGAGTGAAAACGAGAGAGAGAGCTGGACTATGGAGTGAGCGTGAACAATGAAGTTATTAATTTTAATAAGTGCATTTTTTTCCAAGACTGAGTTGGAAATAACCAGTTAACAGACCTCAGATTTTCTTGCAGTCTCTCGCCTTCTATATGTGTATATTTATCTCTTCATAAGGAATGTTTGGGTTAGATTGGATTGGATTTGGAAGAAATATTAAATTCAGTCATTATAATGAACCAAATCTCATTGCTGTGTGTCACTGAAATATCACACATAAAAATGGAATTAGATGTGAACTGTACGTAACTTACAATGCAGATTTATTTGGTAAGTCTTCAGAGCTAAGCTTCTCTATTTCAAAGTATCTATTTTCATATTTGTTCATTTAAAAAGCTGACAATAAGATCAACAAAAGACAACCCCTATGAGAAAAATAGAAGCCGTCTGTTACTTGACATCAACCTTGGGGTTAAACAGTAGTTTGTGGTACATGCTGTGGTATATAATTTAGGCCATTATTTAGGCTAAATTAGATATAGTCAGTTACGTTAGTAATTAAAAGTTTTCAATTGCAAGTTGGGTTCACAGATAAAATAAAATTTGTGAATGACACAGGCTTAAATTGCAGAGGATATTTTTCTTCGCCTGTAGATGGCGACATTGCTTGACAAAAAATGACACATGCCTTAAGACAAAACCCGGCATGATGATTTTGTCCCCCCCCCACCTGCTGCTTGTATTTATCCAGACCTAATGATATTCTTTTCCCATGCACTTCCTAATTAAAATGAGGCAACAAAGGTTACATATCCTCGTAATGTGCCACTCACTTCACATACGAGTAAGTACATGTAACTCCTACTTCATGCAGAATTGCTTTTCTCTCCTTCTTGAAAGGGACCATTGTGTCTCAAGTACCTCAGGAATTGGTTGGAACATTAAGACATGTTGATACTGTTGATACTCGTATGGCAAGTGCCTTTTAGTACGACAATACTGTTCTGCTCAGTTCTACAAAGTTGTCCTATGCTCAGGGACAAGAGGAGATATGGACACTGACTGAGAGATGCTGACATAGGATCTTTTAGTCTCACTGTTTCAGTATCTGACACTGTCTTAGTAGCATCACATCATTGTAATTCTGATTTCCCCATTTAGAGCAGGTATCTGCATATTTTTGACTGACTTTAACTTCTGTTTGTTATGATGGAAGCCACCAATAACCAACAGTATTTGTGTTTTCATTTTAGTTTAATTTCAGTTTAATTTTGGCTTGTAGGTCTTCCTTTGGATTTTTTTCCCCACTTTATGCTGAAAGGTGTTTCTTTTTGCCTCTGAAGGTTGCTTCAATATCATCGCCTTCTGAGTGTGGTTTGAGGGTGTTGAATTCAAAGGACATATCTGCTTGGGACAGTGGGCTGAACAGATCACCAAGGCCATGAATGTTTTAAGCAATGAGAGCACAGCTGCAAAGTTTCATATCTGACCTTCTTTCAATGTCTCCACTCTTTAATATTAGAACAATCAGCCATGGTTTTAAGTGAGCCTTTATAACAGTTCAACAGTCTTGATATGTGTAGATTGGAGTGCCAGTGCTGGAATTGTTTAGTGGAGGGTATGTAGAGTGGTGAGGTAGTCAGAGGCAAATACGCAGTGCAAGGAAATGGGACAGCAGTAGCTTATATGTAGTATAAGTGAATGTGCAGGTGTGTGCATGAAACATGAATACTGAATATTGTGTGTGATGTAGTCTCTTCTCTTTTATTTCAAGGTTATGATTCAGGCACAACCAAAGTGTAAAACTACAGTTCATTTACACACCCACACACACACACACACACATACATTTGCATGTTTGAGTCACTCCAGGTGTGTGTTGGTGTGGTACTTCCATGTGTGTGGGAAAATACAGAGTGTGTACATGGAGATAAAAGATATCTGTGTACGTTTGTGTGAAAAATATGTGCAAATATCAATCTTGTGTGTGTGCAAGTATGCATTCAGGAGTGTGCATATGCATGAGTGTGCATATGTATGAATGTATGCAGACATTCTTTGCAACAATATATCCAATAGAAGTGGGATTAATTGTCAAAGATTAGCACCATTAATGCTCCTTTTCTTACCGCTGTGACAGTTGTGCTGAACAGTACAGAGCAGCACGGCAGACACAAAGAAGATTCTCTGACAATCATCGTCTTTCTTGTCTCGGCGTTGCAATCTTACTGCCTCAGGATTAGTGAATGTGATGAACTTTCTTTCCTTGCTCCATTATCAACCCTCTGCCTCTTTCGTGATATTACTATCTTATGTCAAAGAATGCATACAGTAAAATCACCATGCAATAGTGTAAGCGTTGATTATTTTCAGGCATTTGTGTTTGCAAATGCTGCACATACACACTCTAACACACACATTCAGACACAAGTATCCCCCGAGTCCTGTCCCTGTTTGTTTTCAGATCTGCGGCTGTGCAGGGGGGAAGTGGGTACAGCGAGAGCATACAGTATCTGCATTCTTCGCTTCCTCTCCCGATCCCCCAGATTCTTCTTCTGAGTCTTTATCAAGCTGAAGTCATGGACAACTCACTATTTCCCTCTCGTACTTGGCAGAGAACAGAAAAGAATAGAAAAGAAAACAAGGGAAAAAGGGCTTTCTAATTACTTTAAACAACGCACCAAATTAAAGCATTGTGCTGAGCCGAGCAAGGGTCAGCATCCGGAGCGCTGCGGTTTTCCAGCAGTCTGGGGTGAGGGTAATGCCAAAGGAATCTCTGCTGAACTCACTCTGAAGGGTGAGTGAGAAAGAGGGATAGAGTGGGAGAAGAAAGAGAGAAAACAAAAAAAAGTGTACACTTGAGTACAGACTTCCTAATGAACTGAAGGGCCTTGCTTCATCTGATGGGTTCAATGTGAGGACCCTTCTCTGATTTTACACCGCAACCACAGTCCATAGCCCTGTCTATAGCAAATAAACAAACACAGTGTTCTCTACACGCTGTAATTCACCACTCAGGGTCACTGAGTCTTGTGTGGTTACATGCTGCTTTGTAAACAGATCCTGGATCAGCGCTCCTTCCCCTCGCCCCAACCTTGACCAGTACCTGCTAAGCAGTCAGAGCGTCCTCAGAACAGCGATTAAAAGAGGCGATGCACCAGCAAGGTCGCTGACCTCCTCTCTTATCATGTAGCACTCTGACCTGTGAACCCTGACACTTCAACACTGTTAGCTGACCTGTGTGTCAGGTTGTAACATCCTCACTGGAATAAACAAACAAAAAAAGGAGCATTTCTGCTTTTGAATATATGCAGAGTACTGAGTGCTGATATTGTACTACTTGTCCTGTATATGTGTGGAGTCTTCTATTGTTGGGAGGTGGAAGAGCACCCTCTCCTCTCCGTCCCTATCTTGTTTTGAAAACTGGAACAGTTTGGGGCTTAGATACATCTCAAGCCTGTTGCAAAAGAAGCTGCCAGTAGGCTGGGCTCGGTCAACCAGAGGACAGGCAGCTCTTCTGTAAGAAAGAAAGAGGCTGCAAGTGTGCACAATTGTGTATCTTTTCATAGCAGTCTGTTGTATTCATGAGTCTGCTTGCATGAGTGTATATGATGGGTGATGAGATTAAGGAGCAGGGACACATCCCAACAGAAATCCTTCCTCGCTGTTCTGTTGGCCCAGAAAGGCCCTTACCAGATGTTATGAAGGCGTTCATTTCAATGCAGGCTGTCGTAGAGGGCACATACGGAACATGGTGATGTCTCTTTCTACCACAGGATGACGGGCAATTAAGCCTTGTGACACTGGAGAACCATCCTCTTTATCCCAAGCTTCAGGCCATTACATAGATTCACCCACTGGATCCGGCAACCCATTACAGAAGAGAAGACCTTAATGGCCTGAAGATACTTCACACTTACAGACATGACTCCAACAGCAAGATAGAGCTGAATATTTTCACTCACGCCGTAGCCTCCGTAGAGTTAGATAGATTTTAATAAAAACAAATATAGAGGTTATCTCCCTGATAGAGCTATCCTTTCAGATAAAACAACTGACTTAGGTTTTCTACTAATTTTGTATTTGTTGAAATGTAGTTCTACTTGTACTAGTTTAATCCTCAATTTCCTGACTGTGAAGCACTCAGTGTGACAGCAGTATATTGTTCATTAGTGTAAAAATAATCTGGTTTAACTCCAAGACAGTAATAATGTCTGATTTCATTGGAACACTGTATCATTTGTGGAACAAGACTTCATTGCCATTTTTATCTATTCTATTTTCTCACTGATTTTGCATCTCAAAAAAACGTGTCTGCGTCTCTAAACACACTATGCCTTGACATCTGCCCTCATTAAGAGCCACACACAACACAGGTAGAGAAAAGTAAATATTAAGAGAGCTGGAAGGGAAAGAGGAAATGCTGCCTATTATACCTCAACTCCTCCAGAAAGTCA